ATTTAGCTACCCAGGAATTTACCCAAGAGATATGAAAGCATGTGCCCATATAAAAATGTGAACATGAATGTTCATAGCAGCTTTATTTATAAGACCTCCCAAGTGAAAACAACCCATATGCCTGTCAACAGGTGAATAGATAAACAAACTGTGGTATGTCCATACACCGGAATTACCATACAGCAATAAAATAAAATAAACTATTGATGCATGCTACAAAATGAATCTCAATTACGATGAATGAAAGAAGCTATTTGGACAATAGTTAATATTGTATAATTCCATTTATGTAAAGTTCTAGAAAAATGCAATCAAATCTATAGTGACAAAAAGACCAGTGGTTGGCAGAACACAGGGCCAGGAGAGCAGAAGTAAGGATTATAAGGGGCACAAGAAAACTTTTGGGATGATGGGTATGTTTGGTTTCACAGGTATATGCGATATATAAACAAGTTGAACACTTTAAACATCCAGTTTATTGTGGGTCATTTATACTTCAATATAGCTGTTTTTTTTTAAGAGTTCAGTACCAATGGATTTTATTTCTTTTGCAGATTCATTTTCAAATAGTGTATTACAGGTACCACCATGCCATGTGAAAATTGAGTCCAAAATTATTAAAAAGAAGTTGGAGAAAAAGTTTATTTCAATTTTATTTGCCAATTTATTGATTTATTTCAGGTTCTTTGTATGTATAATACATGGTTTAAAAAAAAATCTACCTTTAAAGTAGATCTTTTAACTATCATGTAAAAACCCTAAGTGGTCAGGAAGCATTGTGTCATAGTTTCTTAATTTCTATAGCAGGTTTTCTTTCTTTCATAGTTGGGCATAAAATAATGGCACATCTTTCAATCAGTGAGGTCTTAGAGTCAAAGAAATGCAGTAAATTCAGATCAAATCACTCCTTAGCACCTCCACCTCCCTCATGGTCCAAGCCATCATCATTCCAAGGCTGGTTTACTGTGTAACAGCCTCCTGATTGCTTTTGTACTTCCATAGCTAGATCAATTATAGTCTATTCTAAACACAGTAGATAGAGCAATCCTTTTGAAAAAAAAAAATCAAGTCATTCCACCGCTCAAAATCCTCCTGTGACTTCTCATCTCATTCTGACTAAAGGCCAAAATCCTTACAAAAGCCTACAATATCTGTGGCATTCTTCACACCACCTTTCAATCCTCCTGCCTTCATCATTTCCTGTAGGATTTTTTAAACTTACTTTAAGTCACATCAGCTTCTTTGCACTTCAAGAAATATGTCAAGAATGCATTTACCTAAGTAAGGCCTTTGTTCTTGACTTTCTCTATGACTAGAATTCTCTTTCCCTTGACTTTTGCATGGTGACATTAAAACCTGGTTCAGATGCCACTTTATCAGTGTGTACTCTTCTTACTAACCTATCTAGTATTGCAACTCCCTGTAACACTTAATTGGCAGCCCAGCCCTATCTCCTGTTCTTCCCTGCTTTATTTTTTTTAAGACTCCTACCACCATATGACAGACAACACATTTTATTTAGTTTTTTTGCTGTCTGCCCCTCAGGAATTTTGGGATATCCAGGTGATTTCAAAACACACAAATTCATACGACAGGTTTGCAAAGCTGGAAACATTAAATCGATAGCAAATAGACTGGCTCTAGTTATAAGTATATTGCATATACTTGGAAAATATGTAATAGGGTACAAGCCAATATAATTTGCAAGAAAGTGAGCCTTTGATTTCAAGAATCAAAAGTTAATGTTAGTTAAATTTATTCTTTTTTTGGGGGGGGGCAGGAAGTTGAAAAAAGTGACTAGGAAAAGTAGAAAGATTGAATGCTATCAGTGGACAGCATTTTCCTTTAAAAAGGGAGAAAAATGTGCCTTGATCTAGCTCTCTTTCTTGTCTGTATTTGTATTAGGCAATTATTCTGTCTTTTGATACAAAGATGGTTTCTTTATTATTTGCCAGCAAATGGCAGCCCTTGGATAAGTTCCTCCTACTTCTCGTTTTCCTTCTGGCACTTCCCACCATGGTCTTTCTCCACTCTTCTGTTTTCTCTTTGTTCCCCCAAGGCTTGATAACATTAAAAAAAAAAAAAGTATTGGATATAAGTTCAGAAGAAAATGAGTTCAATGTGGGGAATCCGACTGCTAGGAGTTTGAAAAGAGCATGTGGCTGGCTTGCAGTGCCTTTTGGCAGAGCGCAGGAGAGAGACCTGGCACCACTCCTCCAGGCCTTCACGGGTGGAGAACTGCTCACCTGGCCAGCACACTGGGCCCCGCAGAGGAGTCTAATCTTCCCTGCCTGTGGGTCACCCCACAGTCTGTAAATATAGGGTGGAAGGTTCTTCTGGGGTGGAGAAAACATAAACGAGGCAGTTTGTTCAGCATCTGCTATAGATTGTGGTGAGGTGCATGCATATGTTGGGCTTTATTGATATAAATCATTTTGTCATGAGGCATCATCAGTGCTAAGGTAAATGAATCAATTGCATTTTGTCATTATGGATAATCATCAGGTTGTGTATAATTAACCTATTCTCTGTCTTGAATAGAGCACTTTTCATTGAAATATCTATTTGCAGATCTGGGGATGACTTATGGCTCTTAATTTGCTTCAGTTTGTTCTTTCAGAGCTTCTCCACATTGTTCCAGTGAGTCAAGCCCCAGGGTCCCTGATGACTCCCTAACAGGAGGGTAAGAGGAATATTTATCCAGGCAGACTGTTCAGGCAGAGGGCATGAGTGCGAAAGGAGGGAGGATTCCCTATCCCTAAGCCTGCTATATAGCAGTTGCTACACAAAAGCAGTCATCTCCTTTTTCTGTGCCTAGCAGAAATTCCTAGATTCCTAGATAATGAGCATTGATCAATTACATGACAAATAATTAGCAAGATTTGGGACACCTGGGTGGCTCAGTGGTTGAGCATCTGATGCCTTCGGCTCAGGTTCTAATCCTGGGATCTGGCATCGAGTCCTGCATCAGGCTCCTTGTGGGGAGCCTGCTTCTCCTTTTGCCTATGTCTCTGCCTCTCTCTCTGTCTCTCATGAATAAATAAATAAAATCTTTAAAAAATAATAATAATTAGCAAGATTTTAGCTCTTCCAGGATTTCTTAGTGTTCTACAAAAGTGACTTTTTAAATGTAACTTCCTCCCCAAATATCTTACCGTGACTTCAGAAATTTACAAAACAATTGTGCCTCTATCCTCTAGTTTTCATCTTCCAAATTTTTAAATTTTTCATCTTATAGAAGAAGCTACCAACACATGAAAGGAAAAAAAATCTCTCCTGAATGTACTATATCAATGTCTAACTTACCTCATCCTTCATTCTCTCTGCCAGACTTTCCCCCACCCCCTAATTCACATTTTTCACTGCCAGCAGGGGTGTTAGAATGTAGAGTTCACTAAAGCTGGTACCTCTAATGTTTCTTGTGTTTAAAAGTCCCTAGTCTTTCTTGCTACTACCTCTTCTTCCCAAGAACTGGCTTTGGACAAACTGCCTTTGAACAAACTGCCTTTTCCTAACTTCTGGGAATGTTTCTTTAGTGTATACTGCCTTTCTTCTTGACCTACAAGCCCATTTAAAGCCACAGACTCTGCCAAATGTCAATTGTTTTTTTCCAGCTAGTCAACAAAGAGGGAGAACAAAGCCACATTCAGTAAAAGATATTATTCTCAGTTCCCAAGCTAGGGGAACCATGTGCAAAGACACTCAGTCAAATCTATTAAGGATTCTGGGTAGGGGCAAAATCTGGAGACAGTATGCCAAGCAAGGTCAAATTATTCTAAAAATGTATGTCTTTGAGTACAAGAGTTGCCTTATTTTGATTTTTTTTTTTCTGATGCAGCACCCAGAGCAGTGATTGTCACAAAGGATAGTGTTTTGTAAAATGATCTGGATCGCTGTGTGACTGCGTGGTTATCTTAGGTATCACTAGAACATGTGCAATCTACCCAAGCAAGACCCAGCTGGGCAGAAATCTGAAGTAACTTGTCTTAATCCATCTAATTGCTTTAAAGTGTCCCACCGTGCAAATAATCAGCAGGGTTGTGGGACAGGCCAGAGAAATGAGTAAGTGCTTAGGCTCTGGAATTGGACTCTGGGCTTGAATCTTGACTCTACTATCTTACAGTTGTGTGACTGTGAGCAAGTCACATAATCTGACTAAGCTTCAGTTATCTTATTCATAACATAAGGATAAACAATGCTTTGCTATAAGAGTGTTATAAGGATAAAATGAGATGATCATGCAAATTTCCCAGCACATATTACAGAGGAAGCATATATTTATTGTGCTAGTATACAGAGTAAGACATAAGTTAATAAATGGCTTCATATAATCACCGTCCAGGGGATCCCTGGGTGGCGCAGCGGTTTAGCGCCTGCCTTTGGCCCAGGGCGCGATCCTCGAGACCTGGGATCAAATCCCACGTCGGGCTCCCGGTGCATGGAGCCTGCTTCTCCCTCTGCCTATGTCTCTGCCTCTCTCTCTCTCTCTGTGTGACTATCATAAATAAATAAAAATTAAAAAAAATCACCGTCCAATATTAATTCTGAAAGAACCTGTGTTCAGCACCAATCAAAGATCACTCTGTAAATGAAGACAGCATGATTTCATGGTGGTAGGAGTGAATTTGTTTAGATTTACATACTCTCCCTGCTAAATCCCATCAGGCACATCAGACTGAATCAGGCAGAGGCTTGGACGCAGTCTGTCCTCATGTTGGGCAGCAAACTGCATGTCTATGTTTGTAAATAGAGTGTGTTTTGATCCACGTGTAATTCACTCCTGCTGCATGACAAAAGAAAGGGTTGCAGTGGGTTACCTGACTTGTTCTACCTAAAGTAATACACAAAGCAGGAACATGAAGCTTTCTATAGTATGTTCAGATTCATCTTCATTTTGGTGGTGGCCTCATTCCCAGCTGCTGAGGGGAGCCAGCACTAAACCAGGAGAGATTAATTAGCCAACAAACCCGAAGATGGCCCCATCTCTTGTGGCATCTTACATTTGGTTGCAGAGAGCTGGGATTTATATTGCCCTCGGACCAGCCGGCAGGTGGACCCATCCCCGTTGCAGACTCCACAGTTATCCTCCTTGATGGTGCTTCCCAGCTGGTGATCGCAGCCGACAATCTAATAGGAGAGAGAGATGGGTGATTCAACCAGATGCCTACTGCAGGGATCCATCGCAAGGCCCATCACCACTAAATGACCTCGCTTCATTTTTGAGGAAGCATAAAACATGCTTCCCGTAGAGGGGAATGAATTCAGCTGGAATTTCAATCAAGCTAAGGAAGAAAAAGCAGATCATAGACAAAGATGTTTTTACAGTTCAAATATATAAACAGAAAGAAGGGTGGTGGAGGAAGACAGAGAGAGAGAGAGAATGGAGGCAGGCAGGGGAGAAGGTAGGGGAGAGAGGAAGACCCTGACCTACTAATATCATGGAGCCTTAATTTAAAAGATAACTCCTATGGGACTCAGTTGGTTAAGCCTCTGCTTTTGGCTCAGGTCCTGGGATGGAGCCCCGAGTTGGGCTCCCTGCTCTGTGGGCAGCCTGCTTCTCCCTTTTCCTCTATCCACCTCTCCCCTTCCCACCCCCACTTGTACACTCTCTGTCAAATAAATAAGTAAATAAAATCTTGGAAAAAAATCACTCCCACTGTCAATAATTATGTGTCACTAAAATTAAAAAATACACTCATGAAAGGAAAAATTTTGTGGATTATTTTCATGTTCCATATTTTCCCTTAGCTGTGTAAGAGTAGGGGTTTTGTATTTTAGGTCCACTGATGTACCAGGCAACTAGTACAGTGCTTGGCAAACTGTAAGCCCTCAATAGGTATTTGCTGAATGATGATGGCAAGTGAGAATTCTATCACTGAACCACCAATGCTGCTGAATGATAATGAAAATCGCTTTTTTTTATTTTATGTATTTATTCATGAGAGACACAGAGACAGGCAGAGACACAGGCAGAGGGAGAAGCAGGTTCCCCATGGGGCAGGGAGCCCGTTGTGGGACTCGATCCTGGGATGCCGGGATCAAGCCCTGGGGCGAAGACAGACACTCAACCGCTGGGCCACCCAGGCTGCCCTAAAATAGTTCCTTTTCTAGCTAGCACTTCAACTAAGAAAAGAGAAACAATCACAGAATGAGCAAACAGAAGCAAGATTATTGTATGTGTGTGGTGGGGGAGGAGGGTCGATGAGGCAGGCGGCAGAGACAACCAATCCTGAGGCCCTCTTTGCCTGGCTGTGTCCTGCTAGACACAAGACAAGTACCTTGTTAATTCTGAGAACGATTATGTAAGATAACTCCATTTAAAACTGAGGCCCTAAGTCTTGCCAAGGTCACTTTGATAATACGTGGCTGAGTTCTGAACACATCTAATAAAACATTTATGTTTAGTCCAAATCAGGCTTAACAACAATCACAAGCACTTATCAGGTATGTGGGCCAAGTCTATTTGTACTTTTACTCTCTCCTTTCTACTGTTCAAGTTAAAAAAACTCAAATCCAAACTGCCTCAGGTTGTACCTCTATAGTTCTAGTTAGATCTAATATCGAAAGACTCCACTTGCAAATGACTTCAACTACTGTCTTTGACACAAATAAAATGAGAACTATGGTGACATTTGAAGAGGCTTCTTTCCCAATAGTTCCTACAATTCACTGTGTCTTTCAAAAATCTAACTGTTAATTGACATTTCTTTGAGGCTTGACTTTCCTTTTTTGTACCTTTAATTAATAATTGCAAACACATGTTTAGGCCAAGGTTTAAAAATTACAATTATTTAGCACTGCATTATATATGTGCTATATTTTTAAATATGGTAATATGTATTTTTTATACACAGGCATACAAGCATTTTTAACATCGATGACAAAGCAGTAACTCCTTCAACAACTATACATTTTTTGAAATACAAAGATGTCAGGAAAACACAGTGCCCAGCTTTTAAGTGGGGAGCAAAGGTGGGCTGGGTCTGTCCTTATGGGCTCATTGTGATCAAGCTGCCATTCACCTCAGTATGCTCACAGGTTGCAGTGAAGTCACTTTAGAATATCACCCAAGTTTCATCCATGCAGAACCAACACATGCTGGCTTAAAATTTCATTGATGTGCTTCTATGTAGCTGTAATAAAATTATTTTCAAAAATTTAATCTGTAGATGAATCCACATACGAGTTGAATAATTCTGCAGTCACTTGTATTCTGAACACAGTGTGAAATGGGGGTGCAGAAGTAACTTATTTACCACCACCAATTATTAAAAATAATTTAATCCTCTAGCCATCAATGATCAAGATCTGCCATGTGCCAAGCACCGTGCTAGAAGCAAAATCAAAAGGTGAGTTTAAGCACATAAGCACCTACCCTCATGGGACCTAAGAGTCTAGTAGTCTCCTCTAGGAGGCACGTATTATTCAAATCACACAAAAGTGTAAAATGATAATCATGATGCAAACTATAAAGTACAGATAAATGATACTCTAAGAACATGAAATATGGAGAATTTGGTATAGTTAGAGCCAGAGAAGAGTCTTTTAAGCTGAGATATGGACGAGGTGCCAGAGTTAACTATACAAAAGGGAGGTGTTGCTGTGAGGTGTACTGCACATTTTAGTCAAGTGTGGGTACCAGCTAATTAGAAAGTAATCCAAAACCCAAGTTGGCAAAAAACCAAAACAAAACAAAAAAAAAAACAAAAACAAAAACAAAAAAATGTCAGAAGCTAAACCATCTGTTTGGCTTAGCAGGGTCAAGTCCTTTGAAAAAAACATGGTAATATTAATTTAGGCAGTATGCAAAGAATCAATGACTCATCTGTTGTTCTTTGGGTTTGGAAAGAGATGAATTTAATCTGACAAGATACTCAGCACTATGGAAGGGTGATAGGCAAGGGGCATGGATATTTATACTCTCAGGTATCTCAAATATAACTTGGTTTATTCCTTAAAGAAATTTCAAGTTTCTCAAAGGATTTAACTTTCTCTGGAAATTTTTTACTGGTCTCTGATATCTCTAAAGAAGCCAAATAGGAGATTACCATGAAAATCTCTCTAAATCCTTAAGATTTCTTATGGCTCCAAAGCCATTTTAAGAAAAGAACAATCCTGCTTTACAGATCCAAAATAACAATCTATTAGGATCAGCTAAATAGAAGGTGACATACTTTAGGGCTCACTTGACCAGACCACCAACTTAGTGCCCTCAATGTAGGTTTATAGACCTCAGGATATGAACCAAGTGGGTTCTAACTAGGCTTTGTTTAACTTCAGAGTTGAAGAGACAAACATGTCCCTGATACACTTTTTTCGCTCCTTTGTATCAATTCCTTTTTAAGATGCCAAAATATTCTAACTCAATTATTTTTAAAACATGGGAATACTTTATCATCAGATAATATGTTCCTATTTTGGTCTAAATGGAAAACTGTTTGCAGTTATGTCAAGAAAATCCTTATTGACATATCTCAGTCTATCTCAATCTTTTGATCTGGAATAACAGATTAATTAAACTGTTACTTTGAGAGCTATTATTAATAACAAAGAAAAAAAAGAAATACAGAAATGGGTTTATTTGGCAGTTATAATGACAGATCTCTGTGCTTTTGCACATACTACTATTTCTGCCTAACGTGCTTTCCCCTAATTCTTTAGTTAGCAAACTCCTATTATTCATCTTTCAAATCCCAAATTAAGTGTCTCCTCCTCAAACATGCCTATCTAGATCCAGATTTAATGGCTTTATTATTCTGTGCTTCCTCAGCCATTTGTTCAGAACTCCAGAGATTACTGGTTGCCACCCAACATCCATCTTATTTTTCTCAGTAACAGAACTCCAATTTTATTTGGGGTAGCAACATGTCCAGTTAAAAGAATACATTTTTCATTGGCTTTGTGATCAAATTATAATTAGTGAAATAAAAGTGGAAATGTTGTATGCAACTTCTGGGAAAACTACTTAAAAGAAGCTGACTTAGATGACCCCACCTGCCTGCTACTCTCCTTCCTTCCTGTTGGCTCTAGGTGCTGTTTTGAAAAAGAGACAATCCTGAGAATGGAAGCCCTGCAGTAAGGAGGGCAGAAGAGAAAGAAAGAACCTGGTTCTTTAACCTTACTTAGACTGATCATATCTTGACTTCTTTTTTTATTTGTGAGAGAGTAATCTTTTATGTGCTCAAACCATTATTGCTTTGGCGTTTCTTTTGTATACACCCAATTCAAATAGTTGAATAACTTATATTGAGTTTAATCTATTAATATGTCTGTTTCTATACCAGATCATGGGCTATTTGAGAGCCCACATTTCATTAATCTTTGCATTTCTGCTGTCTGGCACAGTGTGTGACACTTGACAAGCACAGTGAATGCTGGTGAATCAATGAAACACACGGCAAACATAATGGTTTGTTAACAAAGCCATTGTAGGTTACAGGTAAGTAGCCTTAGACGCAGTCATTGACACACATGTAGACAAAAATGTGAATATATGTGTATACATGTGCTTGTTTGTATCTGTGTACACAGAGGAACAGGCATATCATAAATGACAACTACAGGTCAAACTGAAACTTCTGTCCTGCTGCATGAACAAGAATTACAGTAAAGGACTAGTATTTTTAAAAGACCATTTCCCAAGTGCACCTACACTCATTATTAGTGAAATGTCATGGGAGGCAATGTTCAGGTCACTGAGTTCCCAGACCCACCCCATTCTGGACAAAACATTAAAGTGAGATAATGACCACTCATAACTTTGGCAACTACATAGAATTTTTTTGAAAAGGGTGGAAAACTAGCTGAGTATTTTGGCCTAATGTATTTTATTCATATTCTGCTACTAGGTGTCAACCTGATACAGTGGTCTAACTGCCTCTGTATCCACAGTGATGCTTTTTTTTTTTTTTAAATAAAACTTATCTCAGGTGACATAAAAAGTCAAAGCTCCAAGACATTTTTGCTGCTTAAGCACCACAGCAGACTTCAAGCATGTCATGCAGGTTTTAGGCATCAGGGCTATTCTATGTGCTGATAGGGGTCTCTCCCTTAGTTTTACAGAACTGACAGCAGGTAAACAGGCAGACTGCAAGACTGAAATTCTCTAGACACTGAAATATGTATAA